GCGGCGCGCGGTACACGCTGATCGTGTACGTCGTCGTCGTCACCCCGTCCGGGGCGGTGACGAGTATCGCGACGACGTTCGCCCCCGCGTCGCTGTAGATTGGTAAACTCGCGACGACGCCGACGCCGCTCGCCGACGCGACGCCGTTCACCTGGATCGTCGCCCCGGAGTCGTGCGACGTCGGCGTCAACGTCACCGAGCTCTCCGCGAACGCCGTGTTGACGTCGTACGACGTCGTCAGGACGCTGTACGACGGCCCGGGCGTCAGCGTTCCGTGCGAAAACGTCAACGACGTCAGCGTCGCGTGCGTGGACAACGACAGGCGCGTGACGGACAGGACGTACGACCGCGTCGTGCCGTCGGACGACCGCGTCAGCGTCAGCGTGATGTCGTTTCGTCCGACGCTCACGGGCTGCATCGCGGTCGTGTCCAGGAGTTTCCGCCGCGACATCAGTCGGCGTCGGCCGCTCGCGCCGACGGCGACGACGCCGACGGAGACGGTCGTATCGGAGGGCGTCTCCAGCGCGTAATCCAGCGCCACCTGAAACACCGTGTTCTCCACCGACGCGGCGTACGATAACACGTCCGGGTCGAACGCGCTCGGCGTGAGCGGCGCGGAGACGGAGCTGACGCTCAGCGCCGTGAGCCGCGGCGTCGCGTCCACGGCGGACGGGAAGAGCGACAACAACGTCAGCGCGACGAGCGGGAGGATTCCGATGTCTCCGCGGCCGCGGCCTCCCGCTCGCGTCGCCATCGCGCGGCGGCGCCGCATCGCGGCCCGACGCGCGGGCTCCGCGGCCGCGGCGTCGATATCGGGTGTTCGCCGATGCGAGAACCCGCGTATCTGAACCCTCGCGAGAGGCGTGCGACGCGCGCGACGCGCTCGCGAGGGTGGCTCTCGGAGGGGTACTCGGCGAGCGTTTACGTTCGTCGCCGCGCGCGCGGCCTCGCTTCGCAAGTCGCAACGTCTCACGGAACCGACGCGCGCTATGCGCGCTTTTTTTGCGGCGGCGAGCGAGAGGAACGCAATCTCCCGGCCGCCGCCCTTCCCAATCACACCGCGCCGCACATCGTCCGCACGATGGCTCGCGGCGGTAAACCCAGCAGCACGCGCCCGTCGTCCGCGGGCGCGAAGAAGAAGCGCCAGGGCGGGCACGAGGAGTGGATGGACGACGAGGTGGACGCGCATCATCGCGGCCGCGACAAGATTTCGCTCGATCCCGACGACGACGATGAGGACAGCGAGGACGACTTCGACGACGCCGCGGACGCGGTCATGGACCTCGACGACGACAGCGACGACGAGGAAGACAGCGACGACAGCGACGACGACGACGACGACGAGGATGAGGAGGAGAAGGACGACGAAGACGCCGCCGCCGACGACGGCGACGCGTACGATTCGCAGGAGGACGAGGAGGACGCGGCGCTCATCCGCGCGATGAAGGCGCAGCAGAAAAAGCTCAACGCCTCCGGGGTCACGCGCGCGAAGAAGGACGACGACGAGTCCGAGTCCGAGTCCGAGTCCGAGAGCGACGGCCCGGGCATCAGGGGGAAGAAGAAGTCCGACTTCTACGGCGACGACCGCGAGGTGGACCACGAGGGGCTCGAGGACGAGGAGGACCGCGAAGAGGAAGAGAAGGAAGCGCGGCGGATGCAGCGATCGCTCGCCGAGGGGATGGACGCAGCGGACTACGGTTTATCCGAGTCCGAGTCCGAGTCCGAGTCCGCGTCCGAGGAGAAGACGCTGGGCGCGAAAGCGAAGAAGCTCGCGTCGTCCGGGAAGAAGACCAAGACGGGCGAGGCCGCCGCGAAGGATGACAAGAAGAGGGCGAAGAGGGCGAAGAAAAAGCCGAAGAGCGACGGGAAAGACGCCGACGCCGCCGCCGCCGTGATCGAAGCCCTGGGCGAGGACGACGCCCACGGCGCTGGCGCGGCCGCGACAGACGCGGTGACGGCGGACGCGCCGGAGATCATGGCCCTGCAGAGAGAGCTCGCGAAGAACTTGGAAGAGGTCAAGAACGTCGTCGAGCCGGCGCTCCAGGTGGCGAAAAAAGGCGGCTACGCCACGGAGCTCGGGATATCGTACTTGGAAACGAAGCACATGCTCATGCTGTCGTACTGCGTCAACATCGTGATGTACCTCTTGTTGAAGTCGGAAGGGGTCGCCGTGAAGGACCACCCCGTCGTCGTGAGGCTCGTGGAGATTCGAACGTACTTGGAAAAGCTGCGACCGATCGATCGGAAGCTCAAGTACCAGATCGAGAAGCTTCTGAAGCTCGCGAGCGAACAGAACGAGAGGGAAGAGCTCGGCGACGGCGACGGCGGCGGCGGCGGCGACGCCGGCGAGGACCCGCTCGCGTTCAGGCCCAACCCGGACGCGCTCGTGAGCAAAGTTGAGGAGGACGCCGCGGACGGCGACGGCGACGGCGGCGTGTACCGCCCGCCGAAGATGCTCCCGACGTCCATGGAGGACTTCGAAGAGGGCGGGAAGAGCAACAAGGAGAAGAGGAAGGAGAAGGAAGCGCGGCGACGCGCGAGTCGAAGCGCGCTCATCAAGGTACGCGAGGGTTTCGTGGTTTCTTTCAGCCGGTCGGGTTGCGTTTTTTTTCGCGTCGTCGTCGTCGTTCGTCGCATCAATCTATCGAAGCGGCGGTGGCCTCTCTGTGGTCAATCGTCGTCATTCTTGGTGCTAGAGCAAACGTACTAAATCTTGGGCAGGGTACCGCTCAAATGCCATGAGCGGAGTTTTCCCAATCAAGCGTTGGACATCTCGTTCTCCGCCGCCTCGCCTCGCTTTTTCCTTTTTCCCCCTCGAGTCTCGACCGACGCGCTGAATCTCTCTCCCTCCCTCGCGTCTCTCTCTCTCTCTCTCTCCACCACCCACCACAGGAACTCGCGCAAGAGCTCGGGGAAGCCCCCGAAGAGCTCGGCGGCGGCGAGGGCGACATGTCCAGCGCCTTCGCGAAGCGCGAGTTTGCGCGAATGGAAGCCCGCGCGAAGATTGAAGAGGACCTCTTCACGCGCGTGCCGTTGTCCAAGACTGAACGGCGTCGACAAAAAGCGACGACGAGGTCCGTCAACTCGCTGTCCCAGGTTGGCGACTTCGGCGACGACGTCGCGGACCTCGTCGAGGTCGCGGAGCAGGCGGACGGACGCAAACGACAGCGGCTCGTGGACGCCGTGTCCATGGGCGCGCCGGCGATTCAAAAGCGGCCGAAGCCAGTCGGCGGCGACGCTCTGGAGCCGACGAGAGACACCCTCGGCGACCGCAGGAGCAAGTACGAGAAGGGCGTCAACCGGAAGATCGCCGAGCGCGAGGCGGCGAAGAACGAGGGCATGTACGAGGACGACACCCCGAAGCAGCACGTCGAGGACGACGACGCGTACGTCGACGCCGCGGCGACGAGGGACGCGAAGCGGCGGGCGAAGGAGGACAAGTACCGCCGCCGAGCCGGGATCATCGCCGTGCCGGAGCGAGAGATGGAGGACGACGACGCGAAGAGGGACGTCGGGAAGAAGATCATGGCGAACCGTGGGCTCACGCCGCACCGGAACAAGGACCACAAGAACCCGCGGAAGCGTCTGCGCGACAAGTTCGCCAAGGCGGTGGTTCGGAGGAAGGGGCAAGTGCGGAGCATGCGCGACGACGGCGGCGCGTACGGAGGGGAACAAACGGGGATCAAAACCTCCGTCACCAAGTCGCGGAAGTTTGGAAAGTGAGGAAGGAGGACGCAGTACGCGCACGCGTACAGTACACGTACGCGCGCGAATGTTTCTTAGACGCGGCGACGACGACGGCGACGACGACGGCGACGACGTGCGCGATTTATACGTTGTCGTGTCACATCGACGAACCTATAGACCAACAAGAAGCCTCGCCTCGCCTCGTCGAGGGCGGTCGCTCTCGCGCTCGCGCTCACGCGACGATCTTCTGTGACTTCACCAGGAGGGTGTCCACCACCTTGTCCATGTTCGCGATCGTGTCCAACGTCGCGCGGTACATCGTCACCGGCGTCCCGTCGTCGTACACGATGAGGCACCCCGCGCCTTGGTCCAAGATGCCCTCGAACTTCCCGTCCAAAATCATCTGCGACAGCTTCGACTCCACGACGCTCAGCGGCAGTTCGATCAGACTCGCGACGTGCGCGATCTCAACCTGCGAGAACGGCTCGATCACGCGCATCAGGTTCTGCTCCATCAACGAGTCCTGCAGCGCGCCGAGGTGCGCGGCGATGATCGGATCTTCGCTCAGCTGCGCCTGGTACGTCGCCAACACGCGCTGCATGTCTTTCAAGGACCGGTCCTTGTACGCCTGCGCCACGGCTTTCATCGCGTCCAACGCCTCGCCTTGGTGCTTTAACCCACCCTTGGACGAGATCAACGCGTTCACGTCGTCCGCGGCGCCGCACATGACTTTGCACATGAGCATGTACTTCAGCGCGTTCACGGCTTTCGCGTCGTCGTCCAGGTTGTTCAGCTGCTCGAACGCCTCGAAAAAATACGAGAAGGCGGTTTTGTAGTCTTTTTCCTCCGCGTGTAAGATGCCAGACTGGGAGTCGATCATGCACTGCACCGAGGGGGGGACGTAGATCGCGTTCGAGTTCGTCCTCGCCGCGGTGAGCGCGGCTTTAGCCTACGGTCGGTCAGGAGAAGGAGAGGGTCAGGAGAGGTGCGACGGTGCGATCGAGGGGAACGAGGAGCCGAGCGGGTTTGGGTTCTTCGCGGGGTTCGTTAAATCGAACGAACGATCCATCGGCGCTCTCGCGCACCTTCGGCATGTTCCTCAGCGCGTAGTGGATCCTACTCTCGAGCAAGTGGATGTCCACGAGCAGGAGCTTGTCGTCTAACTTCTTCACCTCGAACGCGAGCGCGCCGATCAGCTTCAGCGCGTCTTGGAACGCCTTCTTCTCCAAGTAGAGCGTGCTCAGGCGCAACTCCACGCGATGCCTCAGGAACGTCCGCTTCTCTTCCTTCGCCCACGCGACTTGCTCTTTGCACAGCTCCACCTGGAGGTCGTCGGACCCCGGGACGGTCGCGAAGACATCGATGACGTTGCGCACGATCTTCGCCGTCTTCGCCTTCGGGACGACCGCGAAGAGCGGGCGGAGCTCCGTGAGCAGAAGTTTCAGCGCGGGCGCGTCCTGGAGCTTCGCGAGGAGCTTCGAGAGCGCGTCGATGCCCTGCTCCTTGACCTTGACGCTCTCCGTGTCCGCGCCGTTCGGGGAGAACACGACCGCGCGGTAGGCTTTGACCGCCTCCGCGGGGTTCGTTCCCGCGAGCTCGACCGCGGCGGCCATCTGCGTCTTGAGCGCCTCCGCGTTCGAAGCGCCCGGGGTGGCCATCTTCAAACGAATCCGCTCTTCTTCCCCGCGCCCGCTCAGATCTGGCGAGATGATCCCTTCCCGTCCGCCTCACGCTTCGGCGCGATCGATCGATCGCTCCGTCGCCGCGGATCTCGCGATGCGTCCCTCGCGCGCGTCCGCCGAGCTCGTCCTCGTCCCTCGCGGCGACGACGGCGCGACCCGCTTGTGACCGCGCGAGGAGGCGTCGCGTCGTTTTCGACCGGGAAGCGGAAGCCGACCAACGACGACTCATGCCGCCCGGGCGCGGTCGGTCATTTTCCAGCCAGGGGAACAAGATTCGCGTCGCGCGCGCGCGGTCAGAACTGCACGCGCTCGGTCACGCCGCCCACGCGCGCTTCAAGGATGTCCGAAGAGACCCCACCAGACGTCCCCGCCGAGGTGCGCGCGCGAAATCGCGCGCGTCGTCGTCGTCGCGTCGTCGTCAACGCCCGAGCGTCGAAAAACGACAACATCCGAATCCCAAATCGAACAACGATCTTCGCCTTCGCGACGCCCCGCGCGTTCGCGACGACGCGCTCGCCGCGCGCGCTCTCTCCCGGCGCATCGTCGCGGCGTCGAGCCTCGCGGCATGATTCAAAAGCGTCTCAGCGTCTCGCGCGCGCCGCGACGTCCTCGAGCTGACCTCCGCGTCCCGTCGCCGTCCCCGTCCACCGCTCGCGTCGTCAGGAGGCGCCTCCCGCCGAGGAGGCCGCGCCCGCGGAAGAGGCCGCGCCCGCGGAAGAGGCCGCGCCCGCGGAGGAGGCCGCGCCCGCGGAGGAGGAGCCCCCCGCGGAGGAGGAGGCCCCCGCGGCGGAGGAAGCCCCCGCGGCGGCGGAGCCCGCGGCGCCCGTCGCCGCCGCGGCGGTTCCCGCGAGGAAAGGACCGCCGGTGCGTCAGTACCTCGACGAGACCGTCGTGCCGGTGTTGAGGCAAGGGTTGCGAGAGCTCGTGAAGGCGCGCCCGGCGGATCCTTTCGAGTTCTTGGGCGATTACATCAAGAAAGCGAACCCGAACAGGAAGTAAACGGCGACCGGGGCGTCGGAAGCGAGTTGGGAGGGACGGCGGAGAGACGCGAAGCGCCGCCGACAGCCTGGTTGTAAAGTACGTCTACACATCCGCGCTACGCTAGTCGCCTCGGGCGTTCGTCCCTTCCTTCAGCGTCTGCCGGTCCGGCAACCCCTCCTCGTCCCGCATCAGCTGATTAAAGTGACTTCGCTCGCCGGACTTGAACGCCGGGTACTTCCGCGGCCGCGCGTCGTTCACCACCGCGGCGCCGAAGTCTCCCGCGTCCACGACCGCGTCGTAGTTGGGCATGTGGAAGAAGATCAACGACAGGCGGTCGAGCGCTAATGTTTCGCGTCGCGCGACGACGCGGTGCCGCGTCGATTTCCACGCGTCGTTCGTCCAGAACCGCATGACGTCGCCGAGGTTGACGAGCAAACCGCCGGCGACGCTCGGGACGTCGATCCACTCGTCAACCTCGGCACCGGTGTCGGACCCGGACGCGTCGCCGCCGTCGCCGCGACGGTCCGGAAGCACCTGTAACCCCCCCGCCTCGCCCGTTTCGAACGCGAGGATCGTCAGCGTCGTCGGGTCCGTGTGCGGCTTCACGCGCTCGACGATCGTCTCATCAGGGCCCTCGTCCGCGTCCGCGTCCGCGCGCGCGTCGAGGTCGAGGTCGAGGGGAGGATATCGCAACGCGACGAGGTTCGTGACGTGTTTGTCGATCCTCGTCTCGAAGTGATGCGCGTCCGCGCCCAGCGCCAGCGCGAACATTCGCATCAGCCGCGACGCGAGGGTCTCCATCGCGCGGTAGTACTCCTCCCACGCCTCGCGAAACCCGCTCGGGGACTCCGGCCAGCGATTCTGTTCGCCAAAGTACAACGCCGCGTCCGGCGACGCGGAGGCGTCGTAGTACGGATCCGAGACAGCATCCACGCCGTCGACGCGCGAGCAGCTGTACTTCTCGTGCATGTTGGTCGGCCTGACCGCGTTGTCGCACCCGCCGACGGGGATGTACCCTTTCTTCAGGCTCGCGATCTTCATCTTCTCCTCGAGCGGGCGCGCGAAGAACCCGCGCGCGGCGGCCATCGCGTCGCGCGCGCGCGCGTCGGACACGCCGTGGTTTATCACGACGAAGAAACCGACGCGCTCGCACGCCTCCTTGACGCGACGCACGACGTCGTCCGACGCGGTCGCGTCGGCGCCCTCGAACGCGGAGACGTCGATCGTCGGCACCGCAAACGCCGCCGGCGGCGGACGCCCGCGGCCGGCCATCCCGCGCGGGCGGACGGGACGGGACCGCGCGAGGCGCGAGTGACGCGATGTCGACGTCGTCGCGTTCTTTTGATGAAGAGAGCTCTGCTCTTCTCGTTCTCCTCTTACAAACAAAACTAACCTTACGCGTAACCTCGTCGTCGCGGTCGGGTCGTTCGCCGCCTCGTCTACCGGCGGTCCGTCTTCCCGATCCCTCTCTTCCCGCTGAACAGATGCTTCGGCATCTTCGTGATGATCTGGCGGTCCGCCTCGCCAATCTTCGCGCGCTTGTTCGCCTTCCTCTGCGCCTTGTCTGCCAGCTTTTGCGCGCGCATCCTCTCGTCGTCGTTCCGCAACCCGCTCCCCGGCGACTTGTCCGCGCGCGCCGTCCGCCGCGCGACGGAGACGCTGCGCGACTTGCTGCTGTGCGCGCGCTTCTTCTCGCCTTCCCCATCTTCCGCGTCCATGTCCTCCGCGTCGTCCATCGCCGCCGTCGACCGCTCGCGCTTTCTTCCGACGCGGGACGCGCTCCGCTCTCGCGCGCGTTTCACCGCGAGGCTGGCGTCGATGCCCATCTCGCCGAGCGATTGCTTCATCCGCGTCGTCGTCGCGCGCCTTTCCGGGTCCGCGGTCCTCGGCATGTTGGCCGCGTTGTTGCCCGCGGACTTTTTCCTTCGGTGCTCCGCGATCATCGTCGCCTTCTTGCTTCTAAGTCGCTTCAGGAGCTCCTTGTCGTCCTCGTCCATGTCGCTCTCCGCCTCCATCTCCTCCTCCGCCTTCTCCCGCTCCCACGCCGCCTCGAGCTCTTCCTCCTCGCGCTCGAGCTCCGCGAGCTTCTCTTCGATCTCCGGGTCGATGAAGTCGCTGACGTTCTTCCCGTTGTAAATCTCCGGAACGATGTCGTATTTCCAGTCGTCGTCGTCCAGAAGGTAGTTTTTACGAAGATCCGCGCTGTACACCCCAGCGCCGCCGTTCTCCTCCTGGAGCATCTTCTCGGTGATCATCGGCGGCAACTCGCCCGACGCCTTCTTCGCGCGGTTGATCGCGACGCTGTGCGGTATCACCGCCGGGCGCGACCTCGAGTCGCGCGGCTTCGGCATCGCGACGTGCAGACGGTTGAGAACCTCCCCGGCTCTGCGCGACGCGAGCTTCTGCTCCACTCGCGCGGCGAGGAGCTTATCGCAGCACACGCGCTTCACGTCCATGACGCCCTCTTCGCTCAGCGTGGACATGCACGGGAGCTCTTCGTCGTCGCCGAGCTGCAACGCCGCGGGGCCTCGCGTCGCCGCGCGCATGCCTTCGACGAGCGCCGCGTCTTCCGGTTTCAAATCCTCCAACCGACGTTGATCCACCTTGTTGATCGCGATCACCAGCGGCTTGTTCGAGAAGAGCGGCTTGATCGAGTGGAACAGGTCCGCCTGCTGCTTGATCGTGAACCCGCACTGCTCGCTCGCGTCGACGATGTATAACACCACCGCGCGTAAGTGCGCCATCGCGGTGATCGACTGCATCTCGATCGTGTTCCGCTCCTCCAGCGGTCGGTCGAGAATACCCGGCGTGTCCAGCACCTGCCACCGCAAGTACTTGTAGTCCGTGTGCCCGACGTAGATGGACTTGGTCGTGAACGCGTACGGCTGCACTTCCACGTCCGCGCGCGTGACTTTGTTCATGAACGAGCTCTTCCCGACGTTCGGATAGCCGCACACCAAGATCGTCCGCGTGTTCGGGTCTATCGACGGCAGGCGCGACATGTGCTGCCTCACCTGCTCCAAGTACGCCAACGACGCCGCGTGCTTCTTCATGATCGTGCACATGCGCCCGAGCGCGGCGCGTTTGAGCTGCTTACACCGGTACAGAGAGTCGCCGTACTTGAGGAGTTTGACGTAGTCTTTCGCGATCTTGTCGATGATGTTCTTCGCCGTGTTCAACTGCCCGAGCGCGAGCTTGTAGTGGTCCTTGTCGTACAGGACGTTGAGGAGGTCGCTGTAGAAGGGGTGGATGTCGTCCACGCGCGGGAAGTCTTCCAAGATGCGCGTCAGCTTTTCGTTCCACGACGTCTGCGTGAATTTCACTTTTCGCATGTAGAAGGCGCGGATCCGCGTTATCGCGTACCCGCGGTGGACGACCGTGGGGGTTTGCCTCTGCGTGCGCGATAAAACGACGTCGATGAAGTCTTTCGCGGTCGGGACCTGAGGAGGGTGCGGCGGAGGGAAGCGGAGGTCAGCGAACGAAACGGACGGTTGGCGGAAACGCCGCCGCCGCCGAAAGACGGCCGCAAATTTCGCGGGCGGCGCGCGAGGCGAGGCGACGCGACGCGACGCGCGCGCGGCGAGTCGCGCGGGGACGCACGTGTGTTATCTTCTTGAAGTTGTACTGCATGGCCGCCATGGTCGCGTCGTTCGCGGCGACTCGCGCGGCGTGTCCGTGCGCGGGCGCGACGCCGACAGTGACCCGAGCGCGGCCCGCCCACTCTCGTTAAGGAGCGCGAGCGGGCGCCTTTCGTTCGCAGAGTGCGGTGTCTGGTCGACCGACCAAACACGCCGAAAAATGTGCCAGCCGCGCCGCGATCGACGCCTACGCTTCGCTCAACGGTACACCTCCTCAGACTAGTCTAAATAAACACGTATTTCCTATCTAATAAAACGAGCACACGCTCACGACGAGGACGCTCGACACGAGGACGACCAACGACGCCGCGTTGCATCGAATCGCCTCGCGCGGCGCGCCGTCCCACTCCCGCAAAAAAACGCTCCACAGCTGCGCGGTAAACACGGTGCTCGACATCACCACCGGCCACGCGAACACGGCGCCGGCGTCGCCCATCAACACCGCGGCGATGCCGTACGTGTGGATGTGGAACGGCATCCCCACCGCCATCGCGACGCACAGCGCGCTCGACTTCGCCGTCGTCTTTCGGTCGGCGCTCGCGAAGAGCCCCCACGCGTCGTTAGAGGTGAGCTCCGCGCAGCTGTACGCGAGGTGCCCGAACGCGTTCCCTAAGAAGCACAAGAGCCATATGGGCATCGCGGCGGCGACTTTAGAGACCCCCGCGTCCCTGGCGACGTCGACCAGACCGCCGCCGAAGACGAACGCGAACTGAAGCATGCTGGATAGCACGCCGCCGAGAAGGCACCACGCGATGTCCGCCGCGAAGATCCTCCGTCGCGTCGCCGCCGCGTCGGCCGTCGTCGTCGCCGCGCCCGACGTTACCTGCATCTCGCCGCCGGCGTGGACGCCAACTTCGGAGATGGAGATGCCGTCGTTCGCCGCTCCCGCGGGCGCGGGCGCGGCCGCCGCCGCGGCGTCTTCGACGCTAAGAATCTTCGCCTTCGCCTCCGCCTCCGCCTCGGCCTCGGCGGCGGCGCCGGCGTCGCGTATCAATCCCGCTTTCGCCCCGAGCGCGAAGCCGACGATGCCTAACGACGCGCCGACGCTCGTCCCGACCGCCTGCGCGGTCGTCAGGTTCTCCGCTTCCACGATCGCGGGCAGCGCCGTGCCTAACGCGATGATGACCGCCATGCAGATGCTCGTGCCCAACGCGATCCCGCATCGCTTCACCGCCTGCCCGAACCCGACGCCGCCGAAGCCCCACAGGAGCGAACTCGCGCATATCGCCCACAGCTCGCTGCTCTCCGCGTTGCCGTATATCGTCCCGAGCGTCTCCGCGCCGACGACGGCGACGACGAACGCGGTGTTGATGAACGGCAACATCGCGTTGAAGAGGAACCAGATGTTCTCCCACTTCCAGACCTCGCCGGCGTGAAGACAGCGCGGCGCCTGGGACTTCGTCGGGACGTTCCAGCTCCCGTTCGCGAGGCCGCTCGCGATCGCCGCGACGACGCCCGCGGCGGCGCTCATCGCGCGGAGGGAAGAAGCTTCGACGACGACACCGCGAAGCGAGGTGCGTCTCTCGTTGTGATGCGAAACGAGATGGCGGCTCCGAGACGCGCAGCGCGGTGTCAGGGTGAGTTTCACCTTCGTTCAATCTCCTACGACTCCTAGTAGCCCTAGTGTAATATAGCCTAGTTGTAGTGTATGCTTCCCCACTCTCAGGAATAACTTCACTCCTTCATACCCTTGATCCCCCGCCTCGCGAGCTCCGCGAGGAGTTGCCGCGTGCTCAGCTCCGCGGGCGTCGCCGCCGATTTGCTCGACTGCCTCCCGCCGCCGCCGTTGAGTTTCCCCGCCGCCGCGGCTTTCTTCTTCGCCGCCCCTCCTCCTCCGTTGTCGCACACCCTCGTCCACTTCCCGCGCGCGTCTCTCTTCAACTTGGATCGCTTCCCTTTCCCGCTCCCGTGCCCTCCGTGCGACGACGACGACGACGACGACTTCAACGCGGCGCCGGCGGTAAACTGCGACGGCGCGTCGAATGACACGGATGAAAAAATCCCATCCTCGTCGTCGTCCTCGCCGAACCCCGCCTCCTCGAGCTTCTCCTCCTCTCTCTGCACCGCCGCGATCGTCGCGTTCAGCCGCTTGCCGAGCCTAGAGTTGAACACGCTCAACCCGGCGCTCGGGCCATCCTTCCCCAGCCTCGCGACGTCGACGTCGCCGCCGCGCAAGTGTTCGTCGATCGCCGCAGCGCACATCTGCCGCATCGCCTGCGCGAGGTCGCGCTCCGGGAACACCTCGGGGCACCGCAACGAAAACCAGAGGTATAAATCGTACGCCGCGTGCGACTGCTCGTGCACGTCGAGTTCCGCGAGCGTCGCGGGCGCGCGCATGGGCGGCGAGTCGATGATCCGAACGGACACGCGACCGCGTTTGACGAACGCCTCGGCGAAAGTCACGAGGGCCCTCGCGCTCGGGGACGACGGATCCGCCACGCTCACGGGCGCGACCGCGAACATCCAGTGGTCTTCCAAGGACAGCGGCAAGTGCGCGACGAGCTTCGCGGCGTCGGTCATCTGCTCCGCGGCGTTCATGAAATAATGCGGCGACGTCTTCGCGTCGCTCGTGAACGCGGACAGCGCGGCGACCAAGCCGGCGTCCGGCTTCGCCTCGCAATACAACGCGATCTGATCCAGCGTCGGCGCGATGGAGCAGCGCGTCAAGTCCACGACGGGCGCCGCCAGCGCGGCTTTCATCAACGGCAGCGTGTCCGCGCTCATCGTCGTCGCGCCGCCTTCGGTGCTGCCCTTGCCGTACCTGCCCGCCCTGCCCGCGATCTGCTTCACCTCCGGCGGCTCGAGGTTGCGTAAGAATTCGCCGTCGAATTTCCGCATCGACGCGAAGATCACGCGTCGGATGCTCAGGTTCAGACCCATCCCGATCGCGTCCGAGGCGATCAACACGTCGTACCCGCTCTCCTCGCGGTTGTTGAAGAGTTCCGCTTGCTTCGAGCGCGCCTCGGGCGGGAGCGAGCCGTAGATGATGCACGCGCGTTTCCCCGCTTCGCGTTCAACCTGATCCTTCAACTGATGCACGGCTTTGCGCGAAAACGCGACCAAGCAGTCCCCGGCTTCGACGTCCTTCAAGCTCTTCAACGGCGTCTCTATCACGTTCAGCTCTTGAAGCCGATCGTAACGGTTGATCGTGAGCGTGTCACCGAGCTCGGCGACGATTTTCTCCACGAGCGGCACCATCGCGGGGTCGCCGCAGACGTGCAGCTCCTTCACGGGTAACCCGATGAGCGCCCTCGTGAACGCGTACCCGCGGTGAGCATCGCCCATCAAGTGCCCTTCGTCGATGACGCCAATCTCGCGCATCTTGTGCACGTCCGCCATCTCGACCGTGCACGCGACGTGCCGCGCGTTCTGCGCCCTCGACTTCTCCTGCCCGGTCACGAGGTCGCACGGGAGGTTGTCTTTTTTGTTCAGACCCTCCGCGACTTCCCACGCGAGCAAACGCAACGGCGAGCAGTACACGCCGCTCTCCGCCTCCTTCAGCCTCTGCAGCGCGTTCCACGTCTTCCCGCTGTTCGTCGGACCGACGTGGAGGTGCACGTTGCGTTTGATCGTCCGCGCGGTGGGGTACCACCGCCCCGGGTTCGTCATGTCCATGACGAGTTCGATCAACTCTTCGGGCGATTTCGCGCCTCCGCCGTGCTCTCGTCGCACGGCGTCGTCCGTCTTGAATTTCAGCTCGTCGTGCTCCGCGCGCGCGACGACATCGAGTTCGTCGTCCAGGCCGTCGTCCAGTTCGTCGTCGTCGTCGTCGTCGTCGAGTTCGTCGTCGTCGAGTGCGTCGTCGTCGAGTGCGTCGTCGAGTGCGGCGTTCAACTTTTCAGAGAGCGTTTCAGAAAGCGACAACGACCAGAGCTTCTTCGCCAACGCCTTTTTCATTTTCCAACCCGCCGGTTTCCACACCTTGACCCGCCGCGGGAAACGTGGCTCGTTGGGCCGCGCACGCGCGTTGACGCGGCCTTTCGCATCCGACCGCCCCCGCGATTTTGACTTCAAGCCCAAACTGAACGCGCAGCTGTGCACTAAGCGCCGTTCGTACGCGTTGAATATAGAGGGAAACTCCACTTGCGATTGCCCAGAGTCCACGAAGTCCTCCAGGCGTCGCTTAATTTCAGTAAACGACGGCCGCTGGTACAGATCCTCCAACGATCGCGTCGGAGAGCCTATGCGCCTTGCCTCGTCGTTGTACGCGCGCACCGCATCCGTCGGGGTGTCGAACGTGCCCAAGTTTTTATGCGTAGTCGCGTCGACGCGGATGTGAATTTCGTACTTTCCCTCTGGCGTCGTAGTCAGCCCCTTCACGACTGCGACGCGCTTGCGACCGTACTTCTTCGCCGCGACCGCGTAGTTTTCCTCCTCGGAGGTATCCGGCGAAGGCAGGCTGAATCCGATCGCTTCTTCGTACGCCCGCATCAAGCCGTACTCGCCGGTGAAAGGTCCTAAAACGCACGGAACGCCCACCTCCGGTTTGAAGTTCAGAAGGAACTCCCCGTGCTCGTTCCGGGAGATGTCGTCCGCGACGCCCGCTGCTCTCAGCTTATCCATCGCTTTCGCGTTCACTCGATCCCACTTCGCCTTGGTCCCCACCCGTCGGTCGTTTAAATTTAATTTTAGCTCGCGCGAGTCCGGAGTCTCCGCGAGGAGCTCGTCGAACGCGTCCATCGCTTCCGTCGTCGTCGCGGTCTTCGCGGGCTTCCTTCCCTTCACGGACTGCGGCACCGTATCCTCGGGAACCTCCTGCAACGCCATGTCTAATTTCGCAGCCTCGACGTTGTACGCCTCGACAGCCTCCTCCAGCGTCGGGAACGTCCCGACGGTGCGCACCTTTTCCCCTGGCGGCTTGATCTGCGCGAACACCTTGCCGTTGTCGCGCCTCTTCATGTACTTGGGCATCTTCCGCGGCGCGGGCTCCCCGGGCTTCCCAGCCCTCGTCTCCGGCGGCGCCTCCCGAGACTCGACGCCGACTTTCGCAGCCTTGGCCTCGTGCGCGCGCTTCTTCGGCGGCTCCGGCGGCTCGATCGCGATCTCCGCGGGCATCCCCGCCGGCAACTGTTGCGACGCGATGCCTAGTTTTGCGGCCTCGACGTTGTACGCCTCCACCGCTTCCGCGATCGTCGGGAACGTTCCGACGTAACGCGCCTTCGCGTCCGGCGGCTTGATACTCACCTTCATCTTGCCGTTCCGCAGCAAGTACACGTATTTCAGCTGCTTCACCCACGCGACTTTCTCGCCGTCCGTGGCGAGCCCGCGCCGCGGCGACGACCACGGACCGATCGACGGCGGGTTCGGACGCATCGCGCGCGATTCCCACGACGCGCGACCGAGTCGCGCGCCGGAGCCGGAGCCGGAGCCGGACGCGGTCGCGGACGCGAGCAGCGTCAAGATGCGACGACGCATGACGTCCGCCTCGTGCCGTCGCCCGCCCGAACCGTTCTCCCCGCGGCCGTCTCCTCGCGGCCGCGTTCCGTGAAATGTCGGAGCCGCCGCCGTCGCGAGAATTAAGAGATCGCGATGAAATCTGAATTTGAGCCCAGTTTGATCGATCGAAATTTTTGAAAGGAATAATTTCACCCCAAAACTTTACTTTGCCGATGAAGTGCGGTCGGCGAGCGCGGGAGAGAGTCCGTCGTCACTCGCGTCGGTTGAACAGTCGTGTTCAAATCATCATCAAATCGTGTCGCCTAAGGTGTTCGTCCGTTCCCGACGCCGCGTCAGCGCCGTCGAGGGCTACTAGTTAGTTATCTTCTACGTCCTCCTCCGTCCCCTCCAGTCGTCGCTCGTCTCCAGTCGGCGACGACCGAGTCAAGTCATAAAAATCCTTCGCCGGCGCCGCCCGCCGCCGTCGTCTTCTCGTCACGTCGATGATTCGATCGAATCGAATCGAATCGATCGACCAGTCATTCATTCATTCGTCCCATCGATCACATCCCACACACCGCGCGGATCTTCTGCCCCGCCCACTGCGCCGTCTCCTGCAGCTGCGCGTCCTGGTGCGAGTCCGAGCACTCCGCGAGAAGCTGCTGCCAAAACGGATGCTGCTGAAACACCGCGCCCATGCCGTCGATCATGTCCGCCATGTCCCCCAACACGCCAATCATCGCCCTCGTGACCGCCTCGTCCCTGTCCTCGTCCTTGTACACCTCCTCCACGAACGCGACGACGAAGGACGCGTGCTGCACGAGCTGCTGGACTTTGCTCTTGTCGTTTTTGAACCCTTGGAGCAAACCGGCGTACGCCTCGAAGATGCCGCTTCTGAGCATGTTGTTGTAGTCGATCATCTCTTCGTCCGTCTTCGGCGTCGAGATGGACAGCTGCGTCGCGGACTGAAGCATCGGGACGACGTACGGGAGGTACTTCTCGAACCCGACGCCGACGGCGAGCGCGATGTCGCCAAAGCACGACAGAATCGGCGGCTTCACGCTCCGGTGCAGCTGCGTGCTCTGCAAATCCTGCAACAACTGCGTCACGATGCCGTCGCAATACGGCAGCATCTTCTCCTCGAGCGCGCGGCATAAATCCCCGACGACGCCGACGGTGACGTTACACACCTCGTACTCCTCGTGGTTCTTCAACCCGACGTCGATGAACGGGTACAGCGCCGTCATGTACTTCTCGAACCCGGCGCCGCTGGCGTACGCCAACGCGCCGACGCACAACATCGCCTCCTCGTGCACCGTCGCGGACCGCGCGCCGATGACGCGCAGGAGGCACTGCATGATGTTGTCCGCGTACGTCAGCACGAGCTGCGTCGTCGCGGGGTCGCCGTCGGCGGACAGCTTCTGGACGATCGTCTGCAACGTCCCGCAGAGCAGCCCTTGAATCTCGCCGAGCTTCTCCGCCGCTTCGGCGGACACCCCGGGCTGCGCCATCTGATCGAGCGTCACCCCGAGCTTTTGCATCACCATCGGGATGAGCTGCTGCACGAGCGAGTACGTGTCGCGCGTCGACGCGCGGATGATCTCGTTCAGGCTCTCGTACGCCTCGATCCTGAGCGTTTGCTCCGCGTCCGCGCGCTCGCTCGCCGCGATGAGCGCCTGGACGATGCCTTGGAAATACGGCGCGAGCGCGGCGCGCATGGGGTCGTGGTCGTCCTCGCCGGCGCAGCACGCGAACAGCCGCTGCAACGCCCAGCAGCTCTTCCCCGCGACGTGCACGCGGTCTTGCAGCGACTCCACGATCGGCTTTAAGATTTGCTCCAGGTTCGCCGCGGACACCACCGGCGGGACGTTATCCGACACTTGTCCGACGTACTCAAAGACGCGGCCGACGGTCCACGCCGTCGTGTCCCTGACGTGAGCCATCTGGTCCTTCATCGCGTTCAAGAGAAACGGCAGCGCCTGCGACGCGACCGGCGCGAGCTTGTCCGGGTCCGGGCCCTCCAGGATGGACCCGAACGCGTACGTCGCCGCCTCTCTCAGGCGCCACTCCCCTTGCGAGATGTTCTGCTGGATGAACGGCATCACGTGATCCACGACGGCGTCTTGCACGCACGTCGCGACGAGGCGCAGGCACGTCCCGCCCGCCATGGCGACGTTCCACGCGTCGTCCCCGTCGTCCACCTGGTCCTCGTCCTGTTTCGTCAGCGTCTCCAGAAGCATCGGCACGAGCATCGGGAGCGCTTTTTCGATGAAGCGGTGGTACGCCACCGCCGCCGCCGCCTCCGCGGTGTTCGCGTCGTCAATCTCCTCCTGACGGTCAATCTCTTCCTCGCAGATCGCGGACCAGAACTCGATCGCCTGCAGCGCGACCGTCTCGTCGTCGCTCTTGGTCGCTTTGACGGATAAGTCAAAGATCGCGGTCATGTACGGCTGGAGGTGTTGGTAGTAATTCTCCGCGACGCCGACGAGCACCTCGTACGCGGCGACTCTGACTCTCACGTCGTCGCACACCGTCGCCTCGCACGTGACTTGCATGATGTAGTTCCTCTCGTTATCGTGTTCGAAGTTGTTCACCGCGAAATAAAGCGCGTTTCTGAGCGCGACGCACGCGGCGAGCCTGATCTCGACGTCCGGCTCTTCTTTTCGCATCCCTTGCACGATGGCGGTTAACATCGCGTTCACCTCCGCCTCCTCCAGGTGCTCCGCGTCGATCTCTTCGCACACGAACCCGAGCGCTTCGAGCGTCGCTTGCTTCAGACCCGGCGCGGTGCCGTTGCTGACGTTGTTCTGGAGGTTTTGCACGAGGTCCGGCCACTGCTTCGCCGGGATCTCCGCCCCCGCGATCTTCGCCACGACTTGCGCGCTCGTGTGCCGCACGGTTGGATCGCTCGACGACAGCGTGTTCCACACCGCGCCCTTGATCTGGTTCCTGATCGTCGGATCTTGCTGGAGCCACTTCTCGACGAGCTCCGCCTTCCTGTTCTCATCGCGCGCGTCCAGCGAGTTCTTCAGGAGCAAGCCCGCGAGCTGCCTGGTCGTCGGCGGCTTCTGCTCGTTCGCGATCTCGCCCGCGAGGGAGGTGAGGAAGCCCGGGAAGTTGCTCTCCTGCGCCGCCTTGAGCTGCGCTTCCGCGGCGACGCGCGCGTTCGCGTCGTGGCTCTGCGTCGCCTGGAGGATCGCGGTGATGTCCGCCATGGTAGCGCGTCACCGGCCGACCGGGGCGAGGCCGCGCGGGGATCCGATCGATCTTTCGCGCCGCGCGCGGGAAAGATTACTTAGAGGCTCTCCTCCTGTTTTCCGCGCGCGCCGTCCCCGCGGATGGATGCGCGTGAAGCGCGCGCGAACGGTCGCGGGTTTACGCGATCGCGCGCGGCGCGGAGTCGCTCGTGGTCCTTGCGAACGCGATGACGCGATCGGCCGACACGAGCGCGTGGCGAGTGGCGACGCGTTGTGGCGATCGCGAGCGCCCGCGCCGGCTCAAACTCGACGCCGCACAAGTTCCCCCGCGCGTGAGCTGGCGGCCCGCCGGCTGGTGGCGCGCGCTTCAAGTCTGTTCGCGCCCGACCGAGCCGAGTCGTTCGCTCCGAACCCGGCCGCGACAGCTGGGCAGAGATCCGGGCGCGCCGGCGGCATGCTGAGCTGCCTGCGCCCGGCGCTGAAGAAACGGAAGCGCGAGGACGACGGCGACGTCGCGGCGCCGCGCGCGAATGAAGCGGAACCGACGTCCGACGGCGGCGGCCGCGGCGGATGCGTCCCCGGGAGGCGGCCGCGAAAGCGCGTCGCCTTCGGCGATGCGTCCGCGATGCCGCTCGAGCGCACCGTCGGCGTCGCGGACGCGGACGTGGACCGCACGCCGATCGAGCTGCCGTACACGTGCGACGGGTGCGGGAACTACATCCTCACGACGCGCATGAGCTGCGGCGGGTGCGAGGATTTCGATCTCTGCGAGCCGTGCTTCCGCGCGTTCGAGCGCGGCGGCGTCGACGGCGACGCGAACGACGCGAAGAACGGCCGCGCGGCGGTCGAGGAGATTTCGAGGGCGGTGACACACGAGCATCCTCCGGGGTGCTTCACCGTCGAGGACGTCGTCCCGGTGGAGGGGGAGTCCGAGAAAGTCGACGACGGGGTTAACGGCGCGGAGGACGCGGGCGCGGTGGGGGATGGGGGCGACGTAGACGGCGACGGGGACGCGGCGACGGCGTCGTAGGTGTAGCTCTAGCTAGATTATGAACGTGTCCAGCGCGAACGAACTTTACCACGAAAGCGACGCGTCGACTCGCCATTCTCTGACGACGCCGCGCGATGTCGGGACGGGGTCGAGGTCGCGGCGGCGGCGACCGCGGCTTCGGCGGCGGCCGCGGCGGCGGCCGCCTGACCTCCGGGCAGCGCCCCGTGACCGAGGGCACGCGCATCAACATCGACCAGCAGCTCGCGCGGTTCAAGGCGTCGGACGAGGTCGAGATCGCGTTTCCGCCCGATCTGAACAACCACGACCGCGCGGTCGTGCACTCCGAGGCCAAGAAGCTCGGGCTGAAGTCGAAGTCGCACGGGAAAGGCGACGAGCGCCGCGTGCACGTCACGAAGCCGAAAGAGTTCAAGCCGGAGGACCACGAGGTGCGGGGCCGCGCGCGAACGCGAACGCGGTCGACGCCGCCCCGAGCGCGAAGACGATTGATTCGGCACCTCGCCGCCGAAACCTAATCACGATCGATCGTCGCCTCTGACGCGCCGCCGCCGCCCCCCACCCCCTCTCGATCGCAGGACATCCACGCGCTGAGCCTCCACCCCGCGTCCCTGACCGCGCTCGCGAGCCACTTCGCGGCGCACCCGCAGACGCGAAGAGAGCTCGAGATCGCCGCGAGCGGATCCCTGGACGCGGCGTGGGACGACGAAGACCGCGGCGCAGCGGGCGCGAGCGGCGGCCACGGCGGCAAACGCGCCAAGACCGCGCCGCCGCTGCTCATGCGCCCGCACGGCGCGGTGACGCCGGAGATGGCGACGGCGTGCGCGGCGGCGCTCGCGACGCGCGTCGCGACGGACCGCGATTTGGCGGAGATTCAGAGGAAGCGCGCGGCGTTGCCGGTGGACGCGTTCAAGGCTGAGATTTTGTCCGCGTGCGCGTCCCATCAAGTCGTGCTCATCGCCGGCGCGACGGGGTGCGGGAAGACGACGCAGGTGCCGCAGTATCTCATCGACGACGCGTGGCAGCGCGGCGTCGGCGCGGCGATCATGTGCACGCAGCCGAGACGCATATCCGCGATCACGGTGGCGGAACGCGTCGCCGCGGAGCGCGGGGAACAGATCGGGAAAGGGTCCGTGGGGTACCAAATCCGTCTGGAGAACAAGGCGTGCGCGGACACCGCGCTGTTGTTCTGCACGAACGGCGTGTTACTCCGACGGCTGACGTCGCCCGGGGCGGATAAGATGCTCGCTTCGCTGTCGCACATCGTCATCGACGAGCTGCACGAGCGCGATTTATTCGCGGACTTTCTCACGATCGTTTTGCGATCCGCGATGGCGCGGCACCCGCACCTTCGCCTGGTTTTAATGTCCGCGACGGTCAGGGAGAGCTTATTCAGCGAGTACTTCGGCGGGTGCCCGGTAATTCGCGTCCCCGGGTACACGCATCCGGTCGCGGACTACCACCTCGAGGACATCTTAGACCGCGTCGGGTACGGCGGCGCGAGCGGCGGCGGGCTGACGCGAACGGCCACCGCGGACCCGGACTCCCCCGAGGGCAAAGCGATGCAAGCCGCGGTGATGCACGCGTTTCTCGAAGGCAGCGACGACGCGTTCGACGCGCTCATGTGCACGATACGAGGCGTCGGCGGCGGCGGCGTCACCGTCGGCGAGACCGCGCTCGTGGGCGTCGCGCACGAGCAGACGGGCGCGACGGCGTTGATGGCGGCGGCGGGGAAAGGGAGGCACGTCGAAGTCGGGCAACTGCTCGGCTGCGGCGCGGACCCGACGCAGCGGTCGCGCGACGGAAGCAGCTCCGCGGACTGGGCGCGGCGGTTCGGACACGACGACATCGCGGCGACGCTGGACCAAGCGCAGGCGGAGCTCGAACGCCTCGCGCATTTTCAAGACTCCGCCATCGCGCTGTCGCGGTATCAGCTCGACGCGGACCCGGACGAGGTGGACTTACAGCTCGCGCAGGAGTTGATCCACTGGATCGTGCGGCGCAGAGCCGCGGACGTCGCCGCGGAGCAAGGCGGCGGCGGCCCCGATGGCGCGATCCTCGTCTTCCTCCCCGGGTGGTTCGAGATCTCGCAGCTGCGGGATAACCTCGCGGCGGATTCGCGGTTCGGACGAGACGTCCTCGTGCTCCCCCTGCACAGCATGGTGCCGCCCGCGGAGCAGAAGAAGGTGTTTCAGCGTCCGCCGCGTGGCGTGAAGAAGGTTGTCCTCGCGACGAACATCGCGGAGACGGCGGTGACGATCGACGACGTCGTCTTCGTGATTGACTCTGGGAGGTTGAAAGAGAAGAGCTACGACGCGCACACGGGCGTGAGCACGTTGCAGTCCGCGTGGATCTCCCGAGCGAGCGCGCAACAACGACGCGGCCGCGCCGGTCGCGTGCGACCGGGGGAGTGCTACAGGCTGTACTCCTCCGCGCGGCTCGCCGCGTTCGCGGACTTCCAGCTCCCGGAGATGCAGCGCTCGCCGCTGGAGGAGCTTTGTCTGCAAGTGCGAATGCTCGCGGAGGCGTCGAGCCTCGGCGGCGAGCTCGGCGGCGGCGCCGCCGCGGTCGGCGCCGGCGCCGGGTCCACCGCGAACTTTTTACTGCAAGCCGTGGAGCCGCCGATTCCGCAGGCAATCGCGCACGCGGTGACGCTTCTCCAGGACATCGGCGCGTTGAAAGAGGACGAGGGGCTGACGCGTTTGGGGCGCCACCTCGGAGAGATGCCCGTGCACCCGCGCGTGGGTAAGATGCTCCTGTACGCGACGTTATTGGGGGTGTTGGATCCCGTGCTCACCGTCGCGTGCGCGGCGGCGTATCGGTCGCCCTTCGTGATGGCGATGGACGGAAACAGAGAAGCCGGGAAACTCGCGCGGCAGGGGTTCTCGAACGAAGCCGGCGGCGCGTCGGACCACCTCGCGGTCTCGCGCGCGTTCGCGGGATGGGAGACGTCGCGCGCGAATGGCGGGAGCTCCGGGGAGAGAGCGTTCAACCAGCGCAATTCCTTGAGCGGCGCGACGTTGAACATGCTCAGAGGGATGCGATCTCAGCTGCTCACCGCGCTGAGCGGACGCGGGTTGATTCACGACTTGCGCGGCGCGAGCGCGAACGCGGGCGCGGGGTCGCTCGTCCGCGCGGTCCTCGCCGTGGGGATGTACCCGCTCGTCGGGCGCCTGCTCGTCCCCGGCGTCGGCGCGAACAACGCCGGCGGGGGGCGAACGCCGACGCTCGCGACGTTGCGAGGCGAAAAGGTGAAGATTCACCCGCACAGCGTCAACGCGAAGCTTCACGACGCCGCGCGCTCGAGCGGCGTCGCGGATAAAGGCCCGACGCTCGTGTGCTTCGACGACGTCACGCGAGGCGAAGCGCAGTTATACGTGCGAGAGTGCACGGCGGTCAGCGCGGCGTCGCTCGTGCTCGTCGCGAGCTCGCTCACCGTGGAGGCGTTGCCGCCGGCGCGGCTTCCGCCGCACGATCCGGAGGACGCGGCGGCGGCGGCGGAGGCGATGATGGAGAGAGACCTCGCGCAGGCGGCGCAGGACGCCGCGAACGAGGCCGTGCTCGTGTGCGACGACTGGCTCAAGTTCCGCGTTCCGCTTCCGGTGCTGTCCCAGCTCGCGTGTTTGAGGATACGCCTCGCGCGCGCGTTCGCGGCGAAAGTGCAGCGACCGGCGGATGCGCTCGCGCCGGATTTGGCCGAGGCGTTGAGAGCGACCGCGACGTTGCTCGCGCACGACGGCGGCGCCGCGGGCGCGGGAGACCTCGCCGGCGGCGCGATCGGCGCGGGAGGGTACGGCGGCGGAATCGGTGGGTTCGGAGGAAGGGAGGGCGACTGGCAGTGCCCGCGCGGGTGCGGCGTCGTGTTCGCGAGCAAGTCGAGTTGCTTCCGCTGCGGGATTGAAAAGGGCGCCGTCGTCCACCGCGGAGGGCGCGGCGGCGGCGGCGGCTGCGGCGGCGGTCGGTTCGGTGGGGGGAGAGGCGGCGGCGGCGGCGGAAGAGGCGGTGGGGGGAGAGGGTTTCCGGGGGGGAGCGGCGGCGGGCGGGGGCTCCCGCCGCCGAGAGTGCTCTCCGGCGGCGGCGGACGCGGCGGTCGCGGCCGGGGAGGACGATGATTTTTACGAGCGGGTTCGTTCGTCGGAGCGGTCTGGTG